TAATCCAAATTCTTGTGTACTCTTTTTTGACAGAGGTGTACCTATGTATGAAGAAAGTGTCAAATGTGACATTTAGTGAAACCTCAGGTTTACTGCAAAGTTCAAATTCTGTTATAGAGCAGAACCTAATAACTTAGTATTGCACTTATTCTATAATTTAAATGAAAGCCTTTAATTAGTATAAGTAACCCCAGGATCACAATACATGGAAAAGAAAGTGAGGCTGTTTTGTGACTGTGTCGGATGTGACAAGAAAGCATCTGATGTAACGTGTTCGGAAAATGTTTTTTAAAATGAGAAGTCTGTACAGATATTTTAATGTTATTTTTAATGCATCATTCAATTGTGAACAATTGACATCTACTGTTCACACCTGACCTGATTTGAAATCGTCAGCATGCATAGGAGAACCCATGGTGGCATCTGTTCCAATGGTAAAATTCAGTGTCTCCAGATTTGTATTTTCATCACATCCATGAATACCTTGAGAATGGTAATAATATTAAATAAACATGACTATAATTTTTTTCATTTTTCAATGTAATATTCTCCTCCGTGCATGCCTTCTGGGAAAAGAGATGAACTTTCGTAGCAAAAGTACAGTAATATTCGCATATTTAGATAAATTTCTGGCTGAAATCCTAGGACCACTTGGCACAGATTTCCTTTCCAAGTTTTCAGGCATAATAACCTTGTATAGTAAATTTCATCAAAATCTGATTTGGTAGGGTGTTACATATTGGTTGATTAGTCGTGGAATCACCCATGTATTGAAATACTAACATATATATGAAGGCGTGTATGGTCAAAGCTTATGATCCACATAAGGATTATTCATATATTAAACATAACTGGGCAACATATAATTTCCATAAGAAATAATTCCGTGGTTTGAGGGATGGGTTCCTGCATATATGATGATGAACCTGGCTCAAGCGAGTAATTACTATAAAGGACTTTCATATATCGTATATACAAGGTGGCCCAGAAGTAATAGGGCAGTTAGTGGTACAATCAGCAGTCACTACAATTTTTATTTGCAAAACTTAATATTTAGACACAAAATAAACAAAAACCAATTATAACAGTTGTTCACCATGGCCACCATGTCTTGTTTTATTGACCAGTCAAACTGCTCTCTAAAATGGCAGCACGTCTCACTCTTGTTTTCCGTTTTGTAAAATGACTTCACAATAAAGACACGCTCTTCGTTTGTGTACCGTTGGTAATTATGATGCTCCATATCTGCAACCTTTATGATTAGTGATTCTGAAATTAAAATAAAAACTAATAATTAATATAATAATTTAAAAAATAATAATAAAATTATAGTAACTGTTGATTGTTCCACTAACTGCCCTATTACTCCTGGGCCACCCTGTACATATTCAGTGTGCATGCCTTCATAACAAAATACATCGCTACAAATATATATCCCATATGCATATGGCACAGTATACAATTTATATGGGATGGTCATATTCACACAGCATGGTGACACCCCAGGGATGTCCCAAACTGGACAACTTGTCCAAGGATCTTCCTGGAATATTTTAAGGACATCTTCAGCCAAATGGTTTCCAACATCTTGAAAGGGATGTCTATGAGACTTTTTAGAGATGTCTTTTAGACATCTTCAGTTGAAGAATTACATACAAGAAAAACCCTTTAAAAATATGGCTTGTCTCATCTGACAGGAAACGAGCCTGTTTTGGAAAAAATGGCATCCAGATATTCTGATATCGCTGAGAAGTCCCAAGTAGTTATGTTTGGGACTTCTCACCTGTCCCATGGGGATATCTGTGGGATGTGTTTGTGCTGTGTTGGAAGTGAACAGTTTTTGTATTTTCACTTCACAGTAGTGACAGTTGAAGTGCCAATCCTCAGCTTAGTTCCTAAAGTTATTTTTGACATTTGGGAGAGACTTGTGAGAGTCACATGATTTCAAGTATGTTTATAACTGATTAGGTCATATCTCTTATCAGGTGATATGTATATGCCCCACTACATTGTAGATAGATATACTGAAGCATACAAGTATCTTATCTGCCCCACAACATCTTTCTATATAAGCATTTTTTTTATTATAAAGTTCTTATAAGGCATTGCCATATATGATCATATAATGATTGTTTGAATAAAAAGATATGATTAGTTATTTTTTCACATACATGTTCATACAATATCATATATGCCCGTTTCTAAAAGAATCACATGATTTTTCCATATGAAGAGTGTCTGCTTGGCACAGGCACCACATGAATCACAGTCCCTCAAGCTAAGACACCCCTTGATGGTCCTCTAGAAGGACAAAGGGGCCGCTCATCGGTAGCCTAAGCCCATCCAAACCCCAAACCACTCGGCCACCGAACCCTGGTGTCCTCATCTTTTTAAGAGGGAGGCCCACTGGTAAGTATCATGTGGCTTTTGAATATGCCTATTTGAACCAGTATCCAATTTCATGTTACTTACTCCTCAACCAGCAGACCACAATTGGCTCTAGTGCCAGCACTAGTCAATGGGTATGATGTGAAAATTGACCATCAACCCACAGGCTAAATGTGGCCATTGGCACAGTCATAAAAATATTGATTGTTCAATACGGAATACTTTAGACTGGATATGTAAATCACTACTGGCATGACAGAATATTTATTGTATCCTTCAAGAAAAGAGGCAGAATACTGCCTCCTTTCTTGATGGTACATTGCACTTGTACTACAAATAACAAAAGGTTGTACTGATCACACTTACCCCAAATAACCTTATGCTAAAATGCAGCTTTTTCTGGGTGTGAAAGTTTCTCATTACTACTTCAAGAAAATGAAAATTTGTAAGTCTAGTAAATTTGTAAGTAAGCGCAAAAATTATGTTGAAGTAATATCTGTACCCTGCTACATACAAAAACTGTCATTATTTCACTTCTCAAACTATTGCAACACATGCAAGTTCCCCTTCTCGATTCTCCCCTACAGCACACACAGTGCCACCTTTCTGGGCAGTGCAGAAAGGCTGGGGCTGCAATATTTGGTGAGAGAGTCCTTAATTAAATAATGAATCTAAATGCTGGGGCTTCATCTTGTGAAACAATGGGTAATACCAAGTAGCATAAAAACCATTTTTCAAAGGCTTTCCCTTTTCATCACCCTCCTCCCTCCCCTTCTCTTCTCTTCCCTCTCCACAGGGTTCACTCTAAAGTTGGGCCAAACTCATGAACTGTACTTAGGACAGGCCTAGGCCTTCAAATTTTTGCTCAAGAGAATCTCAGCCCTTAACTTATGGGGCTAATTAGGCCTATAAGGCTCTGCCCTGGGACATCTCTGTGAGAACGTAATGTTTGGCCTATATGAAGTTTCTTGAATCATCTCCAATTGATTATTTGTGGACAGACTGCCTCAGAAATTCAAATGCATGTTGGAGGCCATCCTTTAAATTCAGGGATGTCCATGCACAACACATCCATATCCCACATCATCCACTGACCACTAATCACAGCTTCATTTTCACCTCATTCCATAAACCAAGCACAAAAATATATCACAAATTAAAAAAAAAAACAAAACAAAAACAGGTCAAGGCACTGATACAAAGGCAGAAGCAGTGATGAATCAGACATAACTCCAGCACAATATCCAGAAACTGTGGGGATGGGTTTGGAGTCCCCATAAGTAAAGATAAACAAATTTCATTTTTTCTTTATAGCAAAATGGTGTTATCAATGGTAAGGGCATGTATCTCATTCTACAAGCCCATATTTTTCCTTTGGAGGGAGCTATCTTCTCTGAAAACACTCTGAAAACAAGGGGGAGAAAAAAAATCGTTAATGAAATTCCCATATTCAAAAACAAGTTTCTGTTCTCCCTCATCCAAGGGAAATAGAACTTTAAATATGCTGGAGCAATTCTGTTTTTTTTTTTTTTAAGGGTAATAAGCATGCTCAATTTGTTACTCTACATGCTCTCAGAAATGTGAGGTAGTGGAATTTTGCAATGGGAAGGTGTTGAAGAAAGGGAATAGGTGCTACCATGCTTTATTTCTTATTCCTTGAAGGTATTAGACCTTGATTAAGACCTTCAAGGTCTTATTCCTATTCAATGCCTTCTAAGGCTTTCTAAATGTTCATTGAATAAAACAAGACTATGATGTAATTCATGACAAGCATTAACAGAAGCCTGAAGATGGTCAGAAAGCCATGAAATCCTTATTATATTGCATGCTTGATAGTGGGTGCAGGCAAGTATAGGTGACAGTTCATATTGGAGAATTTGCATCACATCTGAAATTGCATGATTATGCAGGCAACAGGTTGAAATAAAAAGCTGTGAGGGTAGTGGCATATTTTGGAGGAAGAGTCAGGGCTGTAGAGCAGGGAGCCAAACCTCACCCAAGCAACATTGGGAGAAAAATATTACCTATGAGGGGGCACCAGGGGGGGCCACCCCCATCTCACTATAAAATATACCACAGTGTGAGGGGGAATGTGGTCATATCAGCAATGCATTCTGGAAAGCAGGGGAATACAGGTGTATATGGGACCTATTCACTACCTGTACTCAATAGCCTCCACCTGAGATCCCCTTCTGCTCTCACGAATAGACATAGGAGCATAGTTTGCAGTGGGGACAGTCTACAGCAGTGGTGCCCAAACTTTTTGGCTCAGGGGCCACACAGCTCACTCCCACACGCAACATGGGCCATATGCAGTCACTAGTAATGTAGGAGACTATTTTAAAGAAACCTAAAGGTATTTATAGTGGTTAGGGCCTTGTGGGTCACTTGTAAGCATGTTGCAGGTCTTACCCAAAGGCCATGTGGCTGGGCACCACTGGTCTAAAGGCACATGAGATCATATAGAGATTGCTTCTCCATGGTGAAGTATGGGTGGGGGAGGGGGAGCAGGACAGCATATCAAGTTGCAGCATTCTTATTCATGAGTACCTGATATGCTCCTGGCCATGAAATGCCACTCCACCATCCAAAGGACCAATTGCACAAAGTCATCCAATGGGCAGGAACTTCACTTTATTTGTCTCAACTATAATTGATGCTAAGAGGAAGTCACTCAAGAGGGGAATGTCGATCAGATGGAACTATGATCTCAAATAGGATTCATTAAAAATTTATGTTAATGCAAACCTGGGAATTCCTCAATACCATTTAAGTGAATAATCCCACAATACCAACCACATCCACATCCCACAGTTAATTGGTTCAATTTGTACAGCACTCATTATGCAAGGGAATTGAAAGTTGGATTAATGGAGATTGCTGAATAGGGTTTAGAATTTTCAACAATTTTGAGAAACTGTCACTTCCATTGGAAGATATCTTCCAAATGGTGTTATCAGAACTCTCACCAATCCCAATTTTTCCCCTCAGGAGGGTCAATGCTCCACTGCGACATTGATGAATTTAGATTGTGCCTCAACACATATTCTTCTCAAATCCCCTTCCCATACTGAAAGTATAAGGATATAAGCATAAGGAAGTGAACTACTACAGATAAGAGATTACATCAGGGGGATGGGAGGTTGAATGTGCAGCCACAGTAGACACCAAGGTGAATGCACTTGTCCAAGAGCTGCCTCCAGTAATTGTCAGTTGATAACAGCCATGGATCCCCAATTACGATCAACAGGGCTTTGGCACGTGATATAGCAACATTAAAACGCTTTTTGGAGAAGAGGAAGCCCATATTGTGTGAGAGATCAAATGGAAGGAATTCTTCACAACTGCGGACTGTGGAGATGATGATTGCCTTCCTTTCCTGACCTTGAAATTCTTCCACAGATCCCACCTTGTATGGAGGAAGTCCAAATCTTTTCATCAAACTTCGAATCTTTTCAACCTGCTTCCGATATGGGGTCACCACTCCCACATCATTCTCACATAATCCAGATTGATCCAACTTCTGAAGATATCTGTCAAAAGAAGGAAAAAAAATTCTCAGAAACTGATTATTCACAAGACCATTACTTGCAATCACTGATTAGTCATTACTTTTTCCTGTTTTTACCTTCAAGACTGACAGGAAGAAAAATTACATGAAGACCACAGGTAAGCTTTAGGTCAAGGCCAGATTGGCTTTTTTTTTTAGCTCTACCTAGTGTTTATGTTTCCTTTTTGACCCTTAAACTGCTACAATATCTCCTTAAACACCCTTGAGCTATGTTTTTCTTTAAATGCAGCTTGGTTTGTCATATTTATCAAGTACAGTTTCTTTATTTGCCTTAAAATAAGTTAACCCTCTCACAAGAGAATTTCCTTTCATCCTACCATCCTCTGTCCTGTTTGTGGACTCTTGTCAGTGAGCAGGTTAAGGAATGAACTGGAGCTTTGACTCTTTTTTTGTTGTCCTGGGACTTGCAAGGATCGAGTAACTTGCAGAAATGAATTGACTTGCTTGTAGACTTAACCCTTGACTTAACTTGTAGAATTGACTTAACCCTTTGTATCCTAAAATTACTTGGCAGAAGAAAAAAAAAAGGGCATTGGCATGAAAAGTTCAAGAATATACTAAGTAACACCTTATAACTTTAAATTTGTTTTAAGTCTAAGTGTTGTTAAAAAGCAGTTTGTTACCTTCTTGTCACAATGGACTGAAAAGCTTCATAATTACAGAAACAAATGAGCATACAAGTCATCATATAATGAGCAAATTTGCAAATATAAATGAGAATATTACATTGTAAAGTGCTTTGTTGTCCCATTCAAATGAAAGGTGTCTTAACTGATGTGACACTCCAGGAAGCAGTTTGAATTTCATGTAAACACAAGTGCATTTGACACTTTGAGCACATGACTTCATGACATAAGTTCATGGTCTGTGAGACATAGCTGACAGACGATCTCCACATTATTATAGCCTATTGTAACATGAAAGTTATATAGGGGAAGGTGGGGCATCATGGGTCAAAATTTCTGTGGGCCTACAACTTGGGCATTTTCATTTCTCTGAAGCAATGGATGGTGCTGCATATGACTTACATCACTTGGCCAATCCTATGTTTCCATGTACTCAACCTGAAGTTTTGAGCAACCACATCCTATTTTGAAATGAGGCACCATGGGTCAATGACCAGGATATAATGAGTCATTCCCATTATCACTAAAATGAAGTTCAGTTGGACCGATGTCATCATATAAATGAGTGATCACACCACAGGAGGAGTTCTTTAGTACTGATACACTTTACCAGTTATCAGTAAAAAGAATCCAAAGCTTTCTAGCAGTCACCCCCATCTGTGATCCGTTTCACACCTAAGAATATCACATCTGCTGGTGATATGCCCTTCAGAGTCTTGCACCAATTATTATGCATCATCAGGTATAAAAAAGACTCCAAAGGAAATCATACCATGATCGACTTTGACAACTCTCATAAAACATTTAGCACACTATGAGTTATGACCCATTATGCCCCTAATAGAGTGATCCCTTGTGCTCCAACACAAGTCATTAAAATGAAATCAGGAATACAACCAAAGTTGTGATTGTAGCTCATATATGCACTGAACTGGGCATTGAATTAGGAAAGCACAGGAAAACATTAAGAAAACAGAGCAAGTAATGCAAAGTCAACAGGGTGATTCAAATGATGATATGAGTGAACTTTTTGTATATACTCTTTGGATATACTCTTTGAGACTACAGAAGGAAAAATCATGGTATACTGCAAATGAAGAGTGTGACCTTGGAGGTTAGAGTGGACCATAAGTGGTATAGCAGTAGAACTCAATGTAATAAAATATAACTTAACCTCTGTTACTCTGAAGTTGTCAAGTGGTAGAAGGTTAAACACTTGTATTACAACTCCTTTCTTCCATTAAACTCCAGTTTCAGAGCTAACATTAATCATTATGCTTTGTAACCCCAAAAATGGTGTTCCCTATCATGACGCAAAGAGTCGAATATAGTAACAATAGACACCATCAGAAACTGCTTCTTCATACCTTCATTCAAGCACCTATGAGATACAGGTATATTCAATCTTTTTTGCTCCAGAAGGGACAATAGCCTAATAGGCAAGAAGAATGAGACTCCCATCCCAACCTTCACACTCTGGTTACATGCAATATCAACTTAAGTTCACATTAGCTTACACCATAAGCACAAATATTCTAAGTATCAAGTGAAACCATGCTGGAAGTGCTTTCTGAGAACAGATTTCCTTAATCATGTAATGAGATTTTAAGTACATCATGTGAGGGATAGGCCTGGAAGTTCAATGAACATTTCATGCCTCTACTGGATATAGTGGGCGCATTCAGTTGCGACCCGAGCTATAACGCGAGTCACGACACGAAACACTGAATGCCTCGGGTGATGACGCAGGCACCTGACTCGAGTTACGTGCTATGACCCGATCTCTGAGATCAAGTCATTATCGTTGGGTCATCACTCCAAACATGGCGACATCCATGGAAGACTTCCAGCGGCGAGAGTACGTACACAGATTCGGGGAAACGTGCAAATGAAGTTGTGAATGATGCAAAAGGATGTCACGACGGCTGTTCCTTTCTTTCACCTAGCTAATATGAATTGTAATATCCCGAAATTGCTTTTGAGAAGTGGATAGCCCTCCTCAAATTTGCTTCGAGAAGATTCCAATTTGGAATGGAACATTTTTTATTGCTGGCTGAGGTGACGACTACCTTGAGTCGTCAGACTACCTTAACGACTACCTTGACGACTACCTTGACGACTACCTTGACAAAGACTACCTTGACGACTACCACGATGCAATAAAGAAGAGAGTGAGGTCGAACTCGGACATTGTGAATATCCCGGAGAGGTAACTTGATCTTGAAGAGCATTCTGTACCTCTTCACAATTTTCTCATTTCAACTCCCTCTATTCTTGCTACTTAACAGAAAAGCAGCTAAAATTCGCTGATTAAATGACCCAATGCATTCAGAAGGTTGCGTCAGATATCAAAGTGGGCTATGCCCCGAATCATGACTCGCCCAGTTAGATCGAGTCACAACTGAATGCGCCCAGTAGATCTATTGCTGTCACAACCAGCAGCAAAGCCAGGAGCTCTCCAATGGAGGGCTAAGGGAAACGAACAGAAACCAGAATTTCCTAAACTTCTTGGGAGTAGTGGATAGATCTAGGGTAGAGTTAGGGGGCTTCACCACCCCAAATCCCCCCTGTCGCTATGCTACTGGTCACAGCACATAATCAATCAAAATTTTTCATCAGTAGCTCAATAAAAAGACACTTAATCCTGGAAAAGCCTTATTTTTCCCCACAAAAAGGACAAGCATAAATATGCACATACTGAGAAAAATCTAAAAAATATGCATTTTTATGCATTTTTAAAATGGTAGAAATTGCCTCCTCTACCAATAAGGAATGACTCTACCTGGGCTACATGTTCCTAGGAGGTTGCAGAAAAAATATGCATTTGCATAAAAATCTGCTCCCTTGTCATGACTCAAGTGATAGATAAGGCATTGGAAGTTGTCTGGTCAGCAGTCACTTCTGACCATTTACAGACAATAATGGTCAATGAGCCCAACAAGAGGTTAGACTATATATGATCATAAATGACCATGTTGACCAGTCAACATCTCATCACTAAGAAAGACATTACCATATAAATTGCACAAGTTTGAACATTAAACAGTAATCAGTCATGTTTCAGAAGTAAATTCTGCAACTAGGCAGCTCCATAAGTACTCTGAATAATGAGGAATGCAACACATGGTTTCCAGAACTGGAGTTTCATAGTTTCTGGTATTAGCATTTATTCCTGTTCCTGCCAGAAAAAATAGCCTCTGCCTTGTACAGGGAAGTTCTTCATAGCTAGATTAACGTTTTTAGGCATTGGCCTAGGTATAATCCAAGTACTTGTCTGTTGTTTAGAGACTCAGCAAAATAGTGATTCTCCGATGCAGACTATTGGCCAAGACCATGATAGATCTAACATTAAACTCAAGTTCTAAAGCTGCAACTTGAACCTTGAACCTTAACTTTCAAAATCATTAATGCTGGAAGTCCTTGAACAGTAGGCTATGCCTGTACACACTCTACATCACTCAGGTGAGAGGCCATGGTAGTTTGAGCATTTGCTATAATATTTTCATACCTAATGGATGCCACAGTCCAGATGTTTGGTGGGCTGCATGAATATAACTTTAAAATGGAACTGACTCTTTGGTTTTAGTGCTGGGGGATAAATGACCAGTTATGAGCTCTATCAAAAATGCTAAATTTACTGAAAAAAGAGCTGTCAATAATGGTCAATTAAAAGGTGGTTGATACATGGCCCCATCCCTTGTGTCATGACACCATTTCACACAGACCTCTCTTTGGAAGTCTGACAGCTTGTGGGGTACCCAATGGGGAAAAAAATTCACAAAGCCCCAATTACACATGCAGAATATCAGAAACAGCAGAGGAACCAATGCTGAAATAATTCTCAATCAGTGCATCAGTAAGTCAGGTGTCTCCAGCAACCATTTGCTGGACCAATCCAAGAGTTTTCTTGAGCAACAGAAGCTGAATGCTGACCTGATTGGAGGACATCTTCAATGGAAGTGTGGTCCCATTTGAATTCACAGAACCACTTAGAAACTGTGGAAATATTAAGAGCTTTGTCATCCCATGCCTCCACCAGGCATTCATGAGATAGTTTGAAATCCAGTCCTACTCAGAGATCTTTCTGATCATCCATCTGAAACCTTCACTAGAGGGCTCCATCTTCAAATCTTTAAGGCACAAAAGCTGTAACATGAAAACTAGCACAACTCTTCAACTTCTTGATGTACAGTCATGAAAAGTGGCAGCTGGCCCATAAAAAATGTAATAGGTGATAAAATTATCTGGACTCTGAGTCTACCCATGTGAACATTTCATATAAGACCATATATGAAATGGTCTTATATTTAACCAGTCCAACATATATGGGGCATAGTGCAATACATATATGAACATATGTGAAACATGTATGGGGTTTGACACAAGTCACNAGCCTCCCCAGCCGTCCTCTCCCAGAAAAAAATATAGATCAGATTATACAGGGAGTCCTTGATTTAACTTATGTCATTTTGATATAACATTGCTAACATATACCCCATATATGTTGCGTTGTTCTGATGAAACATTGTAAATCAAGGACTTACTGTATTTCAGACTGATTGTAGGAACTGGTGGAGGAAAATATGGGTAAAGACTGTGAAATCATTGCACCTCCTTTTATGCTGTGCATTTACGAGTGGTGCCATTAAGCGCTCATCAGCAATAGGTAACCAGCTAATCACTGACGGTCACAGACAGACAGGCTAGAAGGGTCTGAAAGTGGTCTCTATTGTTTTTAGGAGACTCATTGATACGTATCACAAGGCTTCCAAATAGGCCTATTTGAATTCGTATATGATTTCATGTTACTTTCTCAATCAATAGAGTATAGACCATAATTGGCACTAGCTCTAGCACTGGTCGATGGGTATGAATTCAAAATGCACCATCAGTCTACCAGTCAAATGTCGCCATTGGCTCAGTCCTAACATGAATATAAAGATGATAAAATTCTTGAAAATCGGTGGTTCCAAATGGAACCTGTGGGCATGAAAGAGTAGAAATCAGACTATTTTCTAGTGATTTTTGTACCCAAGTTTTGGGATCCATCTAGGCCTGGGTTCTTCGCGTGAACACGAGCTATATCTATTTTCACAGAAAGCACTGAGTAGGCTATGACTGTGGCATTGGGCCAAATTATGATGCTTCCCATCTCTCTGTTGGATGACTGGGTAATGAGCTTATGTCCCAAGACAGGGTGGCCTGGGCTTGAACCCCAGTCCAACCTTGGCTTGCCAAGTCAAGTGTGTATTTCCTAGTTCAAGCGCCAGTGCCAGCGTGTTTGGAAAGGGAGTACCCAAGCACAGAGCACTCCCATCTCTAGATATGGGACGGAGGAACTGCGGCAGTGAAGGTTGAATCCAGGTGGCATATCCCTAGATTATCATGGTGGTTAAACCAAATGCAAAATAATTTTGGACCTCTATCACAGTCAATTATGCCTACTTCATATGCTTGCAACAGGTCACAAGTTGTCAGTGGGAGACACTGACTGTCAAATAGGGGGGAAGCTTCAGTGCCTTGCAACCACTCCCAGTCCAAAGGGGAAAAATGCTAAAAATGATTACATTTTCAGCAGCCTTATTTTTTTTTAATGAAAACATGTAATTTAGGCATTTTCAACCTTCTGCAATGTTTTTCACTTGACTTCGACACTCATGCATGAGAAACGTCCCATGAATGAGTTTGAGTCAAGTGAAATGTTGTCTAACTCAAGTGAAAAACAAAAATGAGAGAATATTCATCATTAGCTTCATATACTTAGCATTTGGCATACTTCAGGTGCAATTTCAATATTGGTTATTGGCAGGTCATATATCGTTCTGGGCCAATATATTGGATTCACCCAATATCAGCAGATACCAATAACTGATAAAATATTGTTGCATCTCTAATTTTCAGGGTGGTTATAAAGATCTACTCATTTGAATTCAGTGTTTACTACCTCCCATAGTATGTCTAACTTTACATGTTGATCAGCATCCTCCCTCATGAGGCTGCTGTCTGACAGACCAAGGTGAACATCATTGCAGTTTCTACCAAAAAGATAATACACTTCAATGGTGCTACAAGCCTCAAGCATAATTCAATCCTGTCATCTTAGCCTTGGTTATTGAGCATGATAATGGTAGGAGTAGCATGGTTTAGTAACAGGACTACAAGGAGTTGTAATTGTTGTTTAGTAACATGGAGTAACAGGACCAAGTTTTTCAGACTAAAAAAATTCCCCACACATGAGAAACTTGGTTCAAAATACTAATGGAGAACTAGGAGCCAATCAAGCAATAACAGGAAGTAATATTCCATTGATTTTGAGTGCAGGATAAAAACAGACCAAATATTTTCTCATTCTCAAGAGGTAAAGGAGAAATGCTTCTTTATTTTTAGCATACTATGCAACATTATAAATTTCATGGACAAACAGATATTTAAGATTTGCAATATCATCTCATTGATAAGGTGTAAATTGCATACCAAATCAAATCAACTCCTGAACATGCTGTATCTCTAGCACTACAAGGCACATGAGATTGGATTCTTCAAGAAGTTGGACATGTAACAGACACATTTCAAGTGCCTGAAATGAGGTTTGGTAATTACCTGATAACTTGAAAAACTTCAGCAGGATTGAACCAGGATGGGCTAGCTTCTTCTTGGAGATTCTCTCCATGAACTCCATGGAAAATTATTGGAATTCCAGGACAAGGGAGGAATGGAAGATGACAGAGAGATTCTCGTATATTTCTGTCAGCCTCTACTTCTAATTCTCCAGCATAGAAAGCACTTGAGTAAAAGTTCAAAATGGCATCATGAGATCGATAGTTCTTCACAAGCTTTGTCACAAGCAGGGGATCATACGACCCATGGTCCTGGAACCTAATCTGCATCCAACAAAAGTGAATTCCATCAACATTCCTTTATGTAAGTGTACATCAGCTGTGGACTCACCTCATTACGGGAGTATGGGACACGGGCGCAGAGGCGCTCCAGAAGAGACAATCCCAGGCCATATGTCTTGGCATAAGATGAAGTGAGAACAGGACCCAATTGAAGTGGATCCCCAGCCAATATGATCTGGCCATTCTCTGGTGAGACCAATCCAATAGGAATTAGGGCTTCTGGTTCCATTGCCTGTCCTGCTTCATCTATGATGACATGTGTAAAATGTCCTCTCCTGTAAGGCAAGAAAAAATATTGACCATGCCATCCCTCAGAAGAAACCAGAAACATGCAGGGTCCAAGGTGGCAGAAATTGAACCCTTCATGAAACTTTCAAAGAATTGGGTATATAAGTAATCCAGCCATGCAGGTCATCAATCATCCAAGACAGCAGCAAGGATGGAATGTACGGGGTATGGCAAAAAAAAATCACCATTGACTTTTAACCAAAACATCCCCACTCACAATGCAGCTTTAGCTTTTGCTTAACTTTCACTCTGCATATAATAGTATATTTCAAACTGATTCTCAAAATTTCATCCAAATTTATTGGGCAAAAGCAATACTATCAGAAATTACCGAAAAGAAGTTAAGAAATTGGGAAAAAACATGAGCTCCAGCTGGTAGTGGAGTGGAGGATACACTCAAGTGTTGTCCCTCCTGGTCATCAAGATAACATGAAACTCCTCTTCCATTTAAACTCATTCTATGGGCTGGTTTTCTTTTGTAGATGGATTTCATTCCAAATAAATAGCAGATGAATAAATCAATATAAAGATTCAGAGATTTTTCACATACTTCATTCAAAATTTCTCATGATTTACATCAACTTGAGTCTGTAAGGTATGACAAAAAAAGACTGACTTCAAGCTTATCTGATGAAGGCTTTAGTCATATCCCACAAAATGTTCAGTGGATGAAGCATACCTTCATTTATTTGAAAGTCAACTAGGCTGCCAAAATCCATTACTCTAAATTAATGTTTTAAATGGTATTCTATGACAAGTCTGGCATTTGAAGTGGATAGTTCCCTCAGAATATTAAGGGAAATTTTAAACAACTTTGAGAAAACTCACTAGATTGATATTCATCACTATTTTACCTGTTATTCTTTGGGAATAAGCTCAAGAAAACCATCTGCAAGAAACAACCAGACCAAAGAATGAATTTAAACAAAGAGTTTGATGTGGTATTCATGATCAGGAGGTACAGCACAAGTGCTTTTATTTGCCATACCCTATATACAGGGTGGGTCCCTGTAAATATGGTATGGCAAATGGTATCCAGGTTTTTGGCCCACCCTGTATATACAGGGTGGGCTAAAAAAAACCAGATAGTTTTCAACAATACACTACACTTCCTGCACTGCGCATATTTTAATGTGGCTTCCGGCATTTGAAAGAGGAATGAATAAGCTTTAAAATTATGTGTTTACCTTTCAAAAATTGTCAGCAGTCTTGTCATTAAAAGGGTGTGTGAGTGATAAATTCGAGGTTGAGGAAAATGAAACTTGGAGTAAAAGCCCATTTTCAATCAATTTTTTCACCATTTTTAAACTGTAGTAGCGGCTATTTCTCTGAAGCAAACCCCCAAAATAATATATTGAATATCATTTGAAAGAAAATTGAACAAGCTTCATTTTGCTTCTTTAAAAACTGATATTGGCCCAATGGGGCCCAAGTTATTAAACTTCAAATTTGGGTCCTTTTTTTGCCCCACCCTGTATATATAAAATAAATAAATAAATACTTCCACAGTGACAGTCAATATTGGAGGTACAGTGTGTTTCACAAAAATGTTTACCATTTTGAATAGCCATAACAGCTTTATTATGCTGAGCATTCACTTGAAACAAAAGCAAAATCACAGAGAAACTCTAAAAAAAATTTTTTAGAGGAAAAAAAATGCATACAGGCATACAGGGTATGGAAAAAAAAAAAAAAGACCAACGACTTTCAACCTGAAAATCTTCCCTCTCAATAGGGCTTTTTTCCACAAACTTTAACATTGCATAAATATGTTTCCAACTGATATCTCAAATTTCACCCAAATTTGTTGTGCCAAAGCAATTCCACCAGCAATTATTGAAAAGAAGTTAGACATTGAGAATAGACAAGAGTTCCTGCTGGTAGTAGAGTGGAGGAAACACTCAAGCCCCATCCCTAGGAGGTGGCAAAGCAGGAGGGTAGGAAGGAGATACCTACTTTTATTCCTCAGAAAAATACCTGTGGTTTTCGAATAAACTAACATGGGAGAAGTTAATGGCTATGTTAATGGTAATAGCCAATAGTACTGCTTTGACCCAACTAATTCCAATGAAAATTTGAGAATCAGTTGAAAATATACTTGTACATGCAGAGAGAAAGTTTAGCAAAAATATCTACATGAAGAACTGAGATATTAAGGTTAAAAATCATTGGCCTTTTTTTGCATACCCTGCATGAACCCTCAGTCATATATGAAGATGTTAGTGCTTGCAGGAGGTGGGCAGTATGCTAATTTGTCTGTGATTTCTGACTATAGGTCCATAACACAACTTTCATTCTTTCTTCCCAATTCAGCTATAGCATTTCAGTCACTTTCATAGTAGTATTTAGTCATTATTGCTTGCAAATGGATGAAAAAGAAAATCAGTGGAATTCCTGGGAGTCCTATATACTGTCAAGAGACAGTTTTTAATAAAACTTCCTTTTCCCATTCAGAGGTCACAGACTTTTGGAACACCCTGTACTGTTATATTAATAATCTCAATGAGAGTTAATGCCAACCAACATCTAATCTGGCTGGTAACAAGTAAAATGCAGTTGTACCTCCAGCAATTCATTCTTTGCAAAGAAAAGAATTGATTCTTACAAGTCAAGAGACACTATTTAAAAAATATTCATTGGCTGTTGCTATATACTACTTAGCACTGACTCATACTGATCGCCATTACTTGTAAAAAAAAAAAAAAAAAAAGCATACAAAGTCAATAATGAAATAAACATGTTCTCAAGTGTTTAATCTTTCTTCTGAAACCTACAGGGTGTTTCTTTATAAAGCCCTAGTTTTTTTTTTGAATAACTTTTTCCGTAAGGCACTATTTCAGCATATTGAGGTAATAGAGTATGCACAACGTTTTGTGCATTCAAGCTGATCAAGTATTTTATTTTTAACATTAGAAAAATTGAAAAAAGTGGTGTTAATGCCATCTACTGTATCTGGATTCATACCATATGAATAGATAAAGTTCAAAGTGCATATAAAATGGGAAAACCTGCTCTTTCAAATAAGACCTCGACTAATGGAAACAGTGCATTACAAAAAAATGTATTCAGGGAATAAATCGGGGTTTTATACAGAAACACCCTATATATTGAAGAAGCAGCTAATGATGTAGAGAAATCCTTTGTGCTTTGCCATGGGAACAGTTCTCTACCAGCAGAGCATTCCTTCAAACATTGTATTGAGAACAACTGAGATTCCCTTCCTTACCAAATATAGGGTGGGAAAAAAAACTTAAATTATCTTTCCCACACTCCAGAGCACTGATCCCCAAGTTTGCTAGAACTGCAATAATGCCTCCATATAGATCAATCATTCTGGCTTTCCAATGATGTCAACAGAATATTCATGGCATAACTTTCATGCAGTTAGATAAAAAGCATAAGATGTGGCAGTGGAAAAGTGAACTATGTCCTGAAAAGATTGTGAATATGCATGTGAAGGGATGGATGTCACCTAGAGAACATCCCATAGGGTACTGGCAAGTGCACTTTTCAAGCACTACCTCTGTTACACTCTGTAACTGCACTGGAAGGACAGAATGTATCTTAAATCATTTGATATCAGTGGAAAGCTATACGATTGTTCTATTTAGAGACGTTATTGCAATATTTTCAAACTCTTGAGAAACATGGTGAAGTGTTAAAGATAACCCAAGAATTTGTTGGCCCACCCCTGTAGATCCAGTCTCACTTTGAGGAATTCAAGATATCTTCATCCCTTTAACAACAAGAATATGCTTGCTTGTCATCATAGCTGGACCTTACACCCTGGGTGACCAGACTGAATGGCCTGAGAAATTTTATCTGTAAAAATTTTATTGGAACATCAAAGCCTCTCATAATGTGGAATGATAAGGATTAATGAGCAAAAACCTGTATTTGCTGACCTAATCTCCTGGCTATAGAGAAGACCAGAGGATGCACAAGTAGTTACGATGATTCTGGAACGAACAACCCTTGCAAGATCATCAGCACTCCGGGAAAATGGTTTCACAATGGATGAGATAAGGGCTGGATCTCGCTGGAAAGCACTAAGGCGAACCATTTCCCCAGGATGGCATGCTCCACTCTTGGCCAGACGTTCGACTATGAGATCTGCAGAGCTATTGGATGGTGTTGTCACTAAGATCCTGGCAAGAAACACATGACTGAGATGATGCCACATTCGAAAAGGAGAAGGAAGACATTATTGCCAGTCATTTTCTTCCTTGCAGCATGTTTCAGACCTTACCTGGAGAAGGGAAGACCACAATGTAATTGAATGATGGCTTCAACTACAGTCACAGTTTTTCCTGTTCCTGGAGGGCCAAAGATGATATATGGGGAGGGTCTTGCCAAACCTTGCAAAATGTGCCAGACAGCAGCCTTTTGATGCTTGTTCAGGTGAGGGTTACACCATCCCAACTCCCTTTCTCTACCCTATAACAGTAAATTTTATCTCACATACAACTGTCCATGGGGCAGATGAAGATGAATAACGATAGACTTAGGCAAATCAATATCAGATTGAAGAACACAAAATATGTTCTTATAAGGTAGGCTTTACTCAGGTAGGGTTTGATGACTCCTGCACTCAGCTGCATTGCCACTCCTGGCTCTTCAGTTACAATACACCACTGACCTTGCTTACAAACAATTGTAAGACTTGTTTAAGTATTCACCGCATGCCAGACATGATGCCATTAGCCAATAACTCTTGATATTGTGACGCAGATCAAATATATTATGCACCAAACAATTGAAAATACATTAACACATATACTGCGATATATGACAAATATATGATCATTTATGGCCACATTGAAACCATACAACCTGTCACATGTGGAATTTTCACATGGACACCAATGGCTATACACAAAATGTTTGGTGTTCACATTCAATGAATCAAATTTTTAGCCAATGGAAGTTGTTCATTACATACTCTTACTGCATTGAATAAGATCAATTTGCTGGAAGTTCATGAGAAAATTCTTAGGAAATAAAATCAATGACTCAAAACTCACAATTTCCATAAATGCAGGAATAAACTTGGGAATAATAAAAGGTGCATCACGATTAAGTTGGAAAGTGCACCATTCTTTGCTGATCTTCAAATCAACTTTTCTTTCCCCCTTCAGTGCAACAGACCAGATCCCATTAGAAGTCCCTTGAAAATGGTTTCCTTGCCCTCCATTCACAAGCCTAGGCATGTCACTCAGGTTGGCCTGAGGCGTTCTTGGAACCACCTGGAATACCAATGTAGTACAGGTCATTAATTACAGACACCCTCACTCATGTACAGAAAAACCTTTCTTGATAGAATTTTTAAAGCCACAGAGCATTTCACTTGGGAAAAGACTTTTTAATATTAAAAAAAGGTTCACTGGCACAAAAACATATGGGTCATTCTACCTCAATTTCATAAAAAGTTATGGAGGGGGGATCATGTGATGGATCTAAGTGAAATTAGGCAAAGAGAATGCTCTCATGAAGGAATGAACCTTGACCAACTTTAGTGCATTGGCCTTCTTACCAAAGGTTACCAAAATAAGGGGTCATAATGTTTTGACCTTCATGGCATACCTAAATGGCCCTGCTACATGAGATCCAGCAATGTACGAGGGCCACTCAATAAGTTATCTACCTGAATATGAAAGGGATGAGCAACAGGCCTGTGCC